ATAGCAGGTTCTCCACCGAGGCTGTCCTGACCCTGTAGAATTCCTGAGCATCCTGTGATTGCAGGGGATGTGTTCTGGTGCCTGCAGCTGTACCTTTCCAGTGGCCTCACGAGAATCGTTTGAGCTTGGAGAGGTAGACTTCTTGGTGCTGTATAACTCTTATTTTAAACACAGAGTGAGGGGGAAAAAGGATTATCATTTATTTTATAGGTTATAGCTTTCTCTTCTCAGTGTTATCTCTGTACATTCTGTACAGAGAATAATAATTGTGTACCAATACTGTATAATCTGAACTGATTAAAGGCCTCAGATAGTGTCTTGACTGACTGCCAAATTTACCCAGGACCTTGAATTTAGTGACACTTGAAACTTACTTCTTGAATAGAATGAAGTGTGGACTCTACAGGACTTTGATGGCTCTCCAATTTATTATGGAAGGTTCAGATGATAAGAATGTTCTGTCTCATTAATACCTGTGTTTGCCTTTGCTTTTTCTTTGGTTATTTAGCAAGGGTCAGGCACTTCTATTTGTATTTTCCATCTATCTTTAGGTATCAGTAGAGAATAGGGTAACAGAACAGACTTTGAAGTCAGGTCGTGTTGACTTTCTGGCTCACCATTCACCTAACTGCTCAATGCCTTGACTCCGTTATCTATAAAATAAGGTTGCAGAGAGTATAAAAACACATGAAAACTGATCACAACAGTACTTGGCACATAGGAAGTACTCAGTAAATGTTGGCTGATCCACCACAAAAAAAAAAAAAAAAAAAAAAAAAAAAAAAATGAGATCCTGCCATTTGCAACAACATAGATGGAACTGGAGGACATTTAGTGAAATATGCCAGGTAAAGAAAGACAAACTTCACATGTTCTCACTGATTTGTGGGAGCTAAAAATTAAAACAATTAAACTGATGGAAGTAGAGAAAAGAATGATGGTTTCCAGAGGCTGGGAAGAGTAGTGGGCAGTGCGGGAGTGGGGATGGTTAGTGGGTACAAAACTATTAGGTAGAATAAATAAGATCTAGTATTTGATAGCACAACAGGGTGACTATAGTCAACAACAATTTATCAAACATTTAAAAATACCTAAAAGTGTATAACTGGAATGTTTGTAACACAAAGAAATGATACTGCATAACCTCAAATGTTTGAGGTGATGATTACACATTGTATGCCTATATCAAAATATCTCATGTACCCCATAAAAATATATACCTACTATGTGCCCATACAAATTAAAAACAAAAAATTTAAAAAAATATTTGCTGAGCCAGGAACTGTGACTTACACCTGTAATTACAACACTTTGGGAGGCTGAGGTAGGTGGATCGCTTTGAGCTCAGGAGTTCAAGACCAGCCTGGGCAACATGGCAAAACCCTGCCTCTACAAAAAATACAAAAATTAGCTGGGCATTGGTGGCTCACACCTGTGGTCCCAGCTGCTTGGGGGGCTGAGGCTGGAGAATCGCTTGAGCCCAGGAAGTGGAGGTTGCAGTGAGCTGAGATAATGCCACTGCACTCCAGCCCAGGTAACATAATGAGACCTCATCTCAACAACAACAACAAAATGTTGGCTGATACTAAGTGCTTGATAGTTCTTCTCTTCCTCGAATTAGCTGTCCAGGTCTCAATTATAACACAATGCCACCCTACCCCACTGATACAAGCAATTTCTCATAAGTCACCTTGTCCAACGCTTGTCCTTAGGTAGCTTCATAATTTCAAACCCACCTCTCTTTATCTTAAGCCCTAGTTCCGAGTAGTATGAACAGCCTGTATCAGCTTTGATAAGACTTTTATCATAGTAGTCAGAAAAATCATCTCGCTGAAATTTACAGTTTATACTCAACTCTTCTCTTTTTAACTCCTCCTTTCAGTTAAAAAAATTATACTTGCAATATATACATATACATATATTTAATGCTTTCAAACATTTTGACTATGGAATAGAACCACCTGAAACAGTCCAGGGCCTTTTATACTCTTGCATCATCACATCACTCAAGTCTGCCATTTGTGTTTGCAGTCCCTGGGGTGAAACTTCTCTATGACCAGACTCAAAGAATGTCCAGCACTTTCGATGGATGGACATGGGCATCAGGGTCCTTCTCTAATTGGGTTCCTGTGCTTTTCTGGTTCACCTGCTGATCTGTCTCATTTAGATATTGTCTCACACCCAGTAGTCACTCAGGGACAGTTTGTTGACATATGAATTTAGATAACTAGTTCCAGGAACATGATTCTGTTTGCCATTTTCTTTCTCCCAGGACTCAGGCTTCTTGCTGTTTATTTGTGGGACCCTGCTGTTTTGCTGGGAAACCAAGCCATCAGACTCTTCACTAAACCAACACCAACAAATGAAGTTAGAAGGCTTGAAACTCTTCCTCAGCCCCAGGCCTTTCTTCTTCTTCTTCTTCTTTTTTTTTTTTCTAGCATTTGTGGAATGTAAATTTGACCAGATGAACCAAAATAATTTGTTCACCTGGCTTCTTATGCTCAAGTGAACACCTTGTTCATGCCTGTGAAACATTATAATCAAACTAGAGAGGCAACAAACTCCACAGCTCTGCACTCAGAAGGTTAGCTTTGTCCTGAGCTCTTAAGGTAACAAGATGTCTGAATGCTGCCACAGTGCATAAACCCATGCTGCTTCCTTTTGCACTGTGTCCTTTGCAAAGACCAGAGAGCTCCTCAAACTCACCAGGAAGTATTGAGGAATTTAGTGTTGCGTGCACTAACAGATTCTTAGCAGGAAATTAGAAGGGGTGAGTAAATTGCTTTTTGGTGAGTCATCAGTTTCAAAAACACACCTTATTTCTGAAACAACCTGAATATTGTACATACTTGACTTCCTTCTATTAAACACAGAATAAAAAACTATTAAATGCATTCATCTGTTTGGATTCAGATTTTCTCCAAAATCAATGCACTCATGGAATCGTTGATGTCTACTTGTTGCCTCACCTACTAGTGTGTGCTAAAGTGTTTTTGGTTTAATGAGACAATGCAGTATTTCTTTTGGTTCTGAGGGCCATACGTTGGCCCCTAGGAAGTTATTGGACTGCAATGGCACAATGAGCCAAAGGTGGGTAACAGAGCTTCCATCTCAGCTTCAACCCCTCACCACCTTAAACTCCACACTAGTTGGTCATTTTAACTGTTTGCACCCAATTCCATGGCCACTTTCTTGGCCTAGTGATTAGTAGATTATCAATTCCTTTTTATAAACACATTCCTACTAGGATGTCAGTGAATTACTGTAAACACTTGCAATTTAATATAGACAATAGGAAAGGTGTGGCCCTGAACTGAGAAGATGGCATCTCTCATCTTAAAACTTCAGACATTGAACCTACTAAGTAAGAGTATGTATTTCTGGAAGTCTTTAACCTTTTGGAATGGAAATTTGGTCTCCAGTTATAACTGATGAACTGTGAAACAGGCAAAGCCCTGCAGAAAACAAGCAGAAGGAGAATGGAATTAACTCGACTAAATTATGAGATTAACTTTTTTCCACCCAGGCTGATGGGGGACAAAGGAACAATGGTTGAAGCTTGAGTCTACCTGACAATTGGGGTTTGTCAGGTAAGCCCCATTCTCTTGATAATTTTTTCAGTGGGCTAGACCCAGACCCAATCATGATGAGTATGATATGGATTGGTGGCCCAGCTGGTCTGTAAGACAAGTAGGTCATACTGGGTTTAGGCCAACATGGCACTAAAGATCTTCAGCATACAATTAGAAGCTCAGATATTGATGGGAATATTGTTCACTCTAAAAAAGATGTTTTTATTAGAATTTACTTACTCTTTCATGAAAACATAGATGCTTCCTCTTTTCCGATTGTGAGAACAATATACCTGACTAGCTTTCCCTTTTCTTTAACTGTTAGGAAGTTCTGTCCCTAGAGATAAGTTTCAAATTTATGAAACAATAATTTCAGGGATTATTATTTGCATTACTTTTCTTAATTGACTCTTTAGTTTTATAGTTTCCTTTTTTATAGTTTATATAGAGCTTTTATAATGATTTTAAAATTGTTATTCTCACACTATTTTATTTTGTGTATTAACATTGGAAGCCAGCTCAAGTCATTTGTAAAATGTGGAATGCTTAAAGGAAACAAAAGAAAATTAATACATTAATTGAATTCAGAGATATCCTTTGCTTTCTTTTCAGTGGCATTTTTGAGAATTAACATATTATTATCCCCTTCATTATTCCATTAACAGAATGAAAAATTGCTAATTTAGATGTGGTTGTTAGTTGCTCATTACCTTGACCAAAAGTAATTTACGAGCCAATGTGGCTAAAGCTATAGCACATAACAATCTTGACCTTTCATAGTTTTCAAATTGGATGACTCCTTGGAAAGAAAACAAATCTTTACTAAAGAAGTTAATAGGGTTTCACTCTAGGTTTTCTAAGGACAAAGAACACACCGAAAGCATTCACCTCAGCATCCACCCTGTTGCTGTGTTTTGCCACAGCTCCTTTGGTGCTACCCCACGCAGGAGTCTGAGGTGGTTTTACCCGGGAAAGTAGCTAGTTGATTCTTTAGCCTTAAATGGAAAAGTTGGAAAAGGAAAAACAGTATCTACTCTTATTTCTGCTCCACAGGAATTACCCACCTGTCCTCATTGGAATTATGCATGAAGGGCTGCATTCCTTCAGCTTTATAGGGTATGACCCAGTGTGTTCAGAGGCTGGACGGGAAGATTTGATGGAGTAGCATTTTGTAGCAAACCGATCTAGGGCAAAAGTGTTCCACATTCCCCTAGAGCTTTTCTCTCCCATTTCCCTTCTGTGATTTCAGACACCCATCTATGTTTGCTGGGAGAATCATTAAGTCTTGAGCTCTGCGCTCCTTCCTCTTACCAGACCTAATAGTGACTTTAAGGTGGAGGGGAAGTTAGCAGAAAAGTATATTGTTTCCGTCTTGAAGGGGGCGTGTCCCAGGCTTGTCTACCTGCACAGACAGTAATGTGTGCCAGGAACTGCTGATGGATCAGTGAGCTGTGTTCACGCCAGTGAGCTGCTGTTGCTCAGATACTAATACTTTCTTTCCAAACAGCATAAGAAGTAATTGAGTCACAAGTACACTGAAGGAAGGGCACCCTCGAGCTGTGGCGTGAAGAGAGAAATCACCAGGTAAGCCCAATGACCGTACTTTGATTACTAAGAACGTGTATTACTATGACCAATACTCCCTGTTAGTCTGAGATTATTTTTTCTCTCCTTGAAAAAAAAATTCTGATTTTAATATCTCATTTCCCAAAGACAGTTAATTAAGGGAACAGAGCTGAAAAAGCAATGAGCAGAAACAACAGATTTCAATCCACTTACTAACTATAATGAGGTGATTAGCTGAGGCTCAAGCTCCAGATTATCTCACTCAAAGCACACTCTTCCCTCTGTGCTAACGCAGGACCCCCATTCTTCTGATGTGCCAGAGAGGTAGATTGACTAGAATAAAACGGGCTCCACCAAAGATACTTGCTAAAGTATCAGTCATATGGTTTTCACTAATTCATAATACATTAACCATAGCAATCTCTTAAAATAAAATCGCGCTTGAGAGAATTAAGCTTATTTTTCCTTTAGGGTGAATTCGTTTAAGCTTTGCCTGAATCCATATGTACCCAGAAAGTACTTCTCAATTTAACTCCTTTCCAGGACTCCAAAAAACCCTAGAATTGACTAATTATTTCTCCTGCTACTTCCCCAAGTAAATATAAAATGACACACTGTATTTTCTTAGCAGCTGCCTTGAAAATATAGAATTTTTCTTTTCTCTTTTCTTTGTTTTCATGAAAAATCCATTTATGTAAACCTGATAGCCTATGTAATATGCCATGCCAGAGACTACATGAAGGAAAAATACTGAAGGAGGAATAGAAAGAAGGTCAAGGTGGGAGAGCCGTGGAGAAGTGATGACCTTGACTTTTTCGTGCTGAGATCCATTAAGCTCAACTTGATAATAGCATTCATGGGCTGGAGATTACAAACAGAGGCGAGAATAACAAAAAATAAACAAAAGTACATTCTTTAATATGTTAGAATATTAACACAAGCCTTTTATTATGTTCTGTTTTCATTAAGAAAACACCACTCATTATCTAACCATAACCCAAATTGACAAGTGTTCTAATAATGGTCCCATAATACTTTACTCAACCATTGACAAGTAGTAAAACACTGAGCAAATTACTTAGTTGTCTTGTCCTGGTTATTTCATTTGTAAAGTGGTGCCAATAAGCATTAAGATTGGAAATAGGAGTGTATGCCTGTGGAGTCTGACAAGCTCAACTTGCAAACTCACCTTTTGTGCATAACCCTAAGCTGACATGAATTATTGATGGATGCCTCGTATGTCTTGCTTCTCCAAAAGGAGAGTAAATTTCTTAAAAAGCAGGGACAGTGTCCCCATAACAGGGTCTGTCTGTTGCTGGGCTGAGGGCAAGGAAAGCACCATACTTTCACAACAATGTACTTTCTGATGTCTTTCATTACACAACTAAAGGAATGCAAACATCTTCTTTAAAAAAGTAAATGAACACATTCATTCAAATTAGGATATAAGTAAATGATTTTAGTGCTTTGGCTGAAAGTAAAGTAAAAACTGGAAGAAGCAAGAGGGTACTGGATATCTGAGGGCATTAGCAGTGGTAGGGGTGTACGTCACAAGGGTGCACAACTCAGAAAGTGGGGGAGTGGCATCCTCAGGACAAGTGTCACTGAATTCACAATTTTGCTTAAGGCCACCCTTATGAAACTGTGTTGTGTAACCTACCTAATCTAAATGTTTATATTTTGTAAGTTTCAAAATATTTTGCCTAGTTTTATTTTATTTTATTTTATTTTTTGTGACGGAGTCTCGCTCTGTCGCCCAGGCTGGAGTGCAGTGGCGCGATCTCGGCTCACTGCAAGCTCCGCCTCCCGGGTTCACGCCATTCTCCTGCCTCAGCCTCCTGAGTAGCTGGGACTACAGGTGCTCGCCACCACGCCCGGCTAATTTTTTGTATTTTTAGTAGAGACGGGGTTTCACCGTGTTAGCCAGGATGGTCTCTATCTCCTGATCTCCTGACCTCGTGATCCTCCCACCTCGGTCTCTCAGAGTGCAGGGATTACAGGCGTGACCCACTGCGCCCAGCCGCCTGGCTTTCTTTAGTTTTTTGGCAGGGAACACCTATAGCTTGTAGAGAAGGGGAAACGCTGTTGCCAAATACCTATGTCTTGGGATTTTCCTAAATTGTGTTTGTCTTAGCAGAGTAGTGCTCACAAGATTTCAAGGTCTTCAGAGTTCTTGACTGGATAGATACACGGTTTTATTTTATTTAATTATCTATTTATTTATTTATTTTTGAGACAGAGTCTCACTCTGTTGCTCAGGCTGGAGTGCAGTGGCCCAATCCCAGCTCACCGCAACCTCTGCATCCCAGGATCTAGCAATTCTCCTGTCTCAGTCTCCTGAGTAGCTGGGATTACAGACACCTGCCACTACACCTGGCTAATTTTTGTATTTTTAGTAGAGAAAGAGTTTCACCATGTTGGCCAGGCTCTTCTCAAACTCATGACTTCAAGTGATCCACCAGCCTTGGCCTCCCAAAGTGCTGGGATTATAGGCATGAGCCACCACGCCCAGAGACACATGGTTTTAATAGATGTGAAAACAGTTTAGAATCTTGGAGGGATAGTACTAAAGGTCTATGGCATCGTTCTCTGAAACATACCCTCTTCCATGCACAGCTGGGTTGAAGCCTTGATAAACTCACCCCGTAGTACACAAAACCACTAAGGAAGGGAAGCCTTCTTATCACATCCCCTCCCCAATAAGCCACAGATAATCTCATAGAGGCTTCTGGTCAGTGGCTGATGGAAACTGGGATCTGGCGTGTTGAGAATGAAAATTCATAGGAATTAATAATAGAAGTGGAAAATGCCCTAGCATTTCAGAGAGTTGAAATACATTTCCTATGCGCACTCAGTTGAAAAAATAAAATGCAGAGATGAACAGCAATGAGGTATGCAGTCCTAAAACTGCAAACTCTAGTTAACGTTTTATTGATGAGCATTATCAGATCCTCATGGTGTCTTCTTGGTCTCAGTGCAAATGTCAGTTTTTAATCTCCAGAGGTCCACAAATCTAAAGACTTTAAAGTCCTCAAGATAATTTTCTTATTCTTCTTTCTCAGAAGACAAAACTTTAAAACCTGATAAGAGTTTCTTTACTGTTTTGAGATAAGCAGATATTTATTACACATTTGTGAAGTTGGGACAGCCTGTCGTAATACAACAGATTCACACCTGCAAAGTTCTGGGTAAAGAGAATTTGTGTTAAGCAGGTTATATTTTCTGTAAGCACCTTTCACACTTGTGTTTGTACTGCATGCAGCCTGACTCTACTTGCAGACTTCCCTATGCTTAATCTCTTAAAGAATTAAGTTAATTATTTCTGATAAGACACTTAATGATATATTTCTTAGGCATATCATACTCTTTTATGTTGTTGACCAAGGTATCAATTAAGCAGGTAATTGGTAAAAGATGTAGATATGGTATAATTAAAAAAATATATTTAGGTCAGAATTTTATAGAAAAAGGTGGGCCTCATTAAACAAGCTTACAGCTCGATAGGGGGAATAAATTATAGTGTTCTATACCACTGCAGAATGATTATAGTTAACAATAATATATAGGTTCAAATAACTAGAAGGAGAATATTCAATGTTCCCAACACAAAGAAAGATAAATGTTTGAGATGATGGATATGCTAATTACCCTGATCTGATCACTATATATTATATATATCAAAACATTACTAGGTACGCTATAAATGTGTACAATTATTATTTGTCAATTAAAAATAAAATTTAAAATAAATAAGTAGATAAAATTGATAAAGAATTATCAAGGTGGTCTAGATAAAAAATGGTTTCACTGGGAAATACAGTTGACAAAATTGGCTATTCACTTGGAGGAAATGAAAGGAAATCTGAAAACCTAAATAAATTCCAGAAGGATTAAAGATTTACTTATTTCATCCCAAAACCTAAATTAACTTAAGAAAGATTGAAGATTTAAGTGTATTAGAAATAATTTAAAGAACGAACGAAGTGTTAGACTAAAATGTAGAAGAATGTTTTCCAATCTTTTTATAGAAAACACATTCTTTGGCCGGACACGGTGGTTCACACCTGTAATCCCAGCACTTCTGGAGGCTGAGGCGGGCCGATCGTCTGAGGTCAGGAGTTCGAGACCAACCTGGCCAACATGGTGAAACCCTGTCTCTACTAAAAATACAAAAATCAGCTGGGCATGATGACATGCACCTGTAGTCCCAGCTACTCCGGAGACTGAGGCAGAAGAATCGCTTGAACCTGGGAGGCAGAGGTTGCGGTGAGCCGAGATTGCACCACTGCACTCCAGCCTAGGTGACAGGGCGTGACTCTGTCTCAAAACACAAACAAGCAAACAAAACCACACATTCTTCACACAACCCCAAGGTTAAAATCCATAATGGGGCTGGGTGTGGTGGCTCATACCTGAAATCTCAACACTTTGAGAGGTTGAGGAAGAAGGATCACTTGAGCCCAGGAATTCAAGACCAGTGTGAACAATATGTCGAGACCTCGTCTCTGCAAAACAATAAATGAAAAAATAATTAGCTGGGTGTGGTGGTGCGTGCCTATAGTCCCAGGCACTCAGGAGGCTGAGACAAGAGGATCATTTGAGCCCAGGATGGGGCTGTAGTGAGCTATGATCATGGCACTGCACTCCAGCCTGGGCAGCAGAGCGAGACCCTGTCTCTAAATATAGCTAAAAGTAAAAATGAATAAGTAAAATCCATAATGGAAAAGATTGACAGATGTGATTTCATGAACATTTTAATCTTTTGTGCAGAAGAAAATAATGCAAAAGGTTTAAAGACGGACTACAAACCATGAGCAAATACCTATAATAAGAGTGACAAAGACAAAAGAGTTCCTAAAACATAATTTTAAAGAAAAAGATGGACATTCCAATAGATAAACTTAGGAAAATGACTTAAGTAGTCAAGCTGGAAAAAAATACAAATGGCCAGTAAATCTCTAAAAAAATGCTTAAACTTACTGATAATCAAACACAGGAAAATTAAAATAATAAGGCAA